CATCTCTATATATTGAGTATATGTATGTTTATATGTATGTATTTATGTATAATTTTGACTAAGTAAGTAAATAACACTTTCAAAACTTCTACTTCTACTTCGGATTGACATTTGTATAGATTTAAAGGTGTGAGCAAGTACATACATATCACCTGAGAACACTCCCTCACTTGGTACAAACTTACATATGCATTTGACAGCAGATATGCCACAAAAGGTAAATACGTGTATGTAGATTTGTTTTGGCAATTCAATTTGAGTAAATAAACTTCAGGTAGAGCTGTCCGTTTGGTTTCACTTGGCTTCACATATCATTATCTTTATTATTATCATTATGCACACATGGACACATATATACGCACATGCATATTTGTATAATATACATATGTACATATTTCTATATTAACGTTATAATAGACAACAACAGTCGGTTTGTGAACGGAGCAATCAAGTAACATTTATATGAACCGAACGTTGGACTCCTTCAACGACATGACCAATTTTGGTGTGATTGAGAGAGGGAGAGAGAGCGAGAGAGAGGGCGAAAGGTGGTGATATCATCAGTTTTGATGACGGACATTCCGCATTAATAGCTTCATTAATAAAATATTAGCCTTCGATGCAATCGTAAAGGAAGTCCAGGTAAAATTACATATGCACATACATATAGCACAATAATCTAAACAAATATGCATGCATATAAATTAAGATACATGTGTACATATATATATATATATATTTTTGGCTATATGTATACGTGTAGGAATAGTTAGTAATATTTGCTCACCCAAACAGTTTGTGTCCATGTGCTTTTTTAAATTTTAATAAACAACATAAAGTGCCTTTTTTACCACACACCCACACACTCGCACACACATACTGTCAGTATCATAAAATTCTATGTTTAATAATAGTTACACAAATGTGAAATAAGTTATTTGCAAATATACACATCTGTTCATATACATACACATATATTGGGGGTAGTAAAAAGAAATCCATTATTATTATTATGAAATTGGGAGCTTTCAATTTTACTTTTCGCATCCAGCCCTGTTAAAGTGATTCCAATTGATTTTTTGTGCAATCCTTAGCCCTTTGGCAATCGAAACAGTGCTGACATGACGGTTGGACTCGACAAAGTCCATGAACAGAACAGAACTGAAAGTGGAAAAGTTTTTTTTCTTATCTTTCTAACGTCATCCAGCGCAACCCGATCGGACTTATACAACAAGATAAATAACGCCATGTAATGAAAAAATAATGGTTTACTTTTTACTATACCGAATATATTTATATATATGTATGTAACAAATAATAATAAATAAAAGCTCAGGATTTATAATTAAAAATCATTTTTAATTTGTCTTTCTTAGCGGAATCGGAAAGTGGAAAATGCTTTAAATTATAATAATGGATTTCTTTTTACTACACCTAATATATGTGTATGTAACAAATAATAAATAAAAGCTCATGATTTATAATAAAAAATCAATTTTAATTTACCTTTATTTGCGGAGTCGGAGAGTGGAAAATGCTTTAAATTATAATAATGGATTACTTTTTACTATACCGAATATGTATAGGTTGTCGTAATTGAACAATATGAAAATCCACATGAGTGAGTAAATTAATTGTGAATGGTAAACAATGCTAAACAGACGTAAAGGGTGTTTTTTCTTACACATTTTGGTTTTCAAGAAGAAATAAAAAAAATTATTTATATTATAAAGCTAAGGATTTACAATATCTTTTTAATGGTTTCAGGCAAGTAATTACTCAAAAAAGTTCCAGTAAATTTTCAATTTTCGACCAATTTTTGCAGCCTTTTAGACGGTACATATAATTGGCGATTTATGACCGCTGCAGCGATTTTTGGCCGAGCTCTTCCTCCGTTTTGTGTTTCTGCGTCTTGATGTTTTTCCGCCAGTTTATAATAGGTTTATACAAAGCCGCCTCCGAACGTCTGCTGGTTTGTTTTATGAGCAGAAACAGTGCGGCAAAAAAAGAACGCATTTGTGGGCGAACAGCTCGTGCATCTAACACCATGATAACGCGCCCTCACACAATGCCATCGTTATCCATTCAACAACCACCAAATTCAACTGATCTAGCAATGTGCCTTTTCCTATACTGTCGAGTCAAGAAACTGCTCCGTGGAACGCTGTTCAGCAACCGAGATAAGGTCAAGGAAAAAGGGAGGATGACACTGATTGGATCAAGCGTTGGTATTAGTGCGTTGCGGTCGATGGGAAGTACTTTGAAGGGGACAATATCGATTTTCATGTGTGATTTTGTATTTTTCATTTTTTGAATAAATTTCGGGAACTTTTTGTCCAAAGGCAGTATTGATTGTTTCGTTGGCTCTATGACAGTTAGCGCTGTCTTGTTCAAACCAGGTGGTCATCCACTTCCACATCCAATTCAGCCAAGAAAAAGTTATTAATACTGGCACTGTGCACTATAGTGTTCCCCATCGACTGTAACCTTTTGGCCGACTTCAGTTGCGCTTAGAGTAAACCAAGCAGTGAGTTTTTGAGTATGTAGCGACGTCTCAATAGAGGCTCGTAGATTATAATCACTCCAAATGCGACAGTTTGGCTTATTAATGTACCCATTCAGGCAAAAGTGAGCTACGTCGCTCAGCTCAATTTTCTTATATAAATCGGTATCGCTGGCCATCTCGTTTTGGGTGCATTCAACTAAGGTGTGAAGAGCTTGATGATTGTTTGACTTCGACTCTTGCAAACTGAGATTCTTCGACAAAACCTTCCTAACATTGGATACAGGCAACTCAAATTGTTACACAGAATGGCTGATGGACACATTCGGGTCTCTTTCGATACTCACCTCCACAGCAGCAATGGCGTCTTCGATGCACACGGTATGGCTTCTATGAGATTGAGAATTAACCACTAGACTAAACGTGGTTCGGAATCGATCCATTGTTACTCGAATTATCGACTCTACCCACTATGAAATGGCAAACCAAAAGTGAATATAAATCAAGTAGCAAATCGTCTTTAAGACCAACTCCGCAAAAAGTATTGCCCAATTTAAAACCATTGATCTATGACAAGGTAAAGGGTGCTTAGACATTTATATTTTTAGTTAACAAACATTATTGAAAAAATAAGCCAAATTTGAGAGCTTTGTAGAAATGAAAGCTAAGTACATACATTTCGCCCATTAAAGGTTTTTTTTTAAAGAAAAGCAGTTGCAGTTTTGAACTGATGGAGACTTTTTCTATCGAGGTATCCTAAGAAGTACAAGTGAATTAATTTTTTGCAGTTTTTTTATTTATATAAAAATCAGGATTTGTGGTACGTCCTTGAGCTCTTTTAGCAGAATGGGTTCTCAATTCATTGTCCTCAATCGTGGAAAGGGGAAAGAGCGTTGATAGCCGAAGTTGGTTTTCCTCTAACTCTACTTCCACCTGCTGGTACTGCCTTGAAAATTCTCAAAGCTGAAGTATTCTAGTGCTGCTTCTTGATTCGCTGAACTATAAGGTGTGACAATTAGGTAATGAGACTGATTCCAAAAAAAATTGTATATTTCAAAATTATTCAATTTACAACTTTGCAATCCTCTTCGAAGTAGTCCCCTGTAGCTGTACAAAGCTTCCAGCGCGATTTCGACTGGGATGTCCGCGAGTACCCTCGGCACGGCATGGCGCGTTAGCGTGATAAAGGATCCAGTTAGGTGCGATATCTTAGCTCATCCTGGTGAGTCATTTTCACAATCTTTCAGGTACTCAGCGATGGTAGACTTGATTTATGGTTTGCTGTTTCGCCCAATTTGGCGTAAAATTTTATCGCGACAAGCTAGAGCGATGGCAAATATATCAATGGAGAGGAAAAGAAAGCCGGAAGAAGGGAACGCGAAGGTTTTAGGGTTACCACAATCGCGGCAATATAATCAGTCTAGTTACTCTATTGTCATACCTTCGTCGTCAGCGGTTGGATACTCTCATAGAAGATTACACCTTGTCTATTTAGATCTGCAGCTCTTCTTATTTCTCCAGTAAGAACTTAAAGAAGTTCACCCGTTCGGTATCGAAGGGCTTGGAGAGGTTTAACCACATTCTTGCAGAGCTTTTAGTAATGCTTACGGTGAGTTTACACTGCCGTATAAGTTTTGTCGGGATTCCAAATTCAGACATGGCGGCGTAAAGTCCTATTCGTGCTGTCAAATCGACGAAGAGGTGGTGTGTGTCGATTTTATTTTCACGAGTCTATTCCAAGATTGGGCGCATGGTAAACATCTGGTCATTGGTTGACTTACCAGCTCTGAAGCCGCACTGATAAGGTCCAATCAGTTTATTGACGGTGGGTTTCAGTCTTTCATACAATACGCTCGATAGAACCTTGTAGGCGATATTAAGGAGGCCGTGGGTTAGGTAATTGGCGCAGACTGGGTGGTCACACACTTAAATTCCAATTATCGGGCATGTTTTTGTCTGACCGTATTCTCAAAGTAGCTGATGCATGCCCCTGGTCAGCTCTTTACCGCCATGTTTGAATAGTTCTGCCGGTAGGCCGTCAGCTTTCGCCGCTTTGTTGTTTTTTAAGCGGACGATTGCTATTCGAAATTATTCATGGCCAGGTAATGGAACGTACTTTCCATCCTCATTGATTGGGGTTTCGGGTTCACCATCTCCGGATACTCCATTTTCACTACTATTCAGCATATTATGCAGAGAAGTGCTCCCTCTATAAATTCAATATAAACAATGTGAACTAATATTTAAGGATTATTTTTGTGTAATTTGAATTTATTTCTCGCATAAGCTTATGAGCCTTCCAATACATTATATATGTAATTTTGAAAAAAAAAATAATACAGATTTATTTACTGCTCTTACAAAGGACAATAATTAAAGCGCTTCTGAGAGTAAATACAAGTCAAAAACATATCTATTTGCGCTTAAATTAAATTTGCTATTTATATTATATATATATATATAAATAAATATATTTATGTACGATTGTGTATTTAAAATTTATGCTTAATATTTTCACCACATATTTTCATTAATTACATAAAATATTTTTTAATGCGAAATCCTTCGAGCTCACTCAATTCAGGCAGGTAATTACCGCACGTTGGAAACCCTTGCGGTGATTTAACCATTTCACTGGTATTACCCACTTGCAGTATTAAGCCCATGCCGATGGCTAAATGCCATTCATAGTGACAGTGCATAAGCCAGAAACCTGTTAAAAGAGAGTTTAGAGAAAATTTGCAAAATAGAAAAAATAAATTTTATTTATGTTTTTGTTTATTATATTAATTAATTATTATGCCAGAATGCGTATTTATTTTCCATTAATTAATTATCATATATACTGCCACTGGAAGGCTTTGGAGGCCGCTTTAGAACAACATCCAAATCTAAATTACAGAAATATGTTTGTATTATGGGAAATGAAAGCTTCTACAAAACCGTTCTAAATAAAGTTATCCCTTTCGTGAAAGCTCTTCTCGTTTTGTTCAATAAACCGAACGAAGAGGGAAGCTCACTTTTGGTTCGATTATATTGATCTCTTCAAAAGAGAGAGTGTCCCACTAGCGCCCAATCTCAAAACTGCAGATATGCTAAAAATAGCAAAAAATGCTCATAAGTATATATTGGGCACATAGATTGGTATCGCTTTAATAACTTCTGCTTACGTCGCTTTAATTTAGCCTTCATCTTATACTTTCATTTTTTGGCGAAGTATTGCCAATAAAGCCAAATGGATAATCAAACTTATTTCGATATACATATAAGCATAATTTCTAACGACATTTTCGCCTGGATTATGATGAAGTATGCCGTGCCGCAATTGTTTTACGATTACTATCGTCTTGAGTTAATGGAATGGAAAATTGGTTTGAATTGCAATTATATAAAGCACGTCCAACAAACTACTTGACTTCCACAATCTAAGTAGACTACAGATGTTTGCTTATTCACATTGTTTTTTTACATACACATAATAGTGAAAAACAACAGAAGAGCTCAATGCTCAGAGAACTCATATATTGATTTTATGGACGTTGGCCCAAGCGATTTCATACATACATTTGTCGTAGCTATGAACGTTCGTACTCGTACAATATTATAAGAGTTAAAAAACTAGCTATTTGTATCAAATATTTGTATATGACTGTATGTACAGCCTTGGCCAAAAGTATTAGTACACGTTAGCTAATAAAAAAGGAACGATATACAAACTTCAAAAAATGAAATAAAATAAAAATGGTGAAAACCTGGCAGAGACAGTTCGTAAAACTAAAACATTTTTCCGTCTTCGGGTAGCACCTTGTCGGACCACAAATTAGTGATGTGAGAAATAAAACACGGGCATATGGTTCAAGATATTTTGAAAAGCTTCCGTGCAACTTTTTGGTACGGCTTATGGTCGGCGTGGTCATTGAACCTTGATTTCTCAAAAATGAGGCTGGAGCAACAGATTACACTGAATAGTTAAAGATTAATGATTTCTTATGGCCGGGCGGTGATCGCTATTGGCCACCGAGATCTTGTGATATAACACCTAGCGACTTCTTCCTTTGGGACCACGTGAAAAGTGAAGTCTGCGCCAACATACCAACGTTGGTTCAAAACTTCAAAGAGGGAATTGGTGAAGCTATTAAGGGCATACAGCTGCCACTTTTCGATTTGGTGATGGTCACTTTCATAAAAAGGATACGGACTGTAAGTGTAGCTGTGGCGCGCATTTGGCTGATTTTGTTTTCCATTATTAACGGTATATCTTCCTATTTATATTGAAATAAACTTCCGATTATTTATCTTTAAGCATCAAAGTTAAACCTCTTATTGGAAAAGTCTGTATTGCATGAATATAATATTTTAAAAATAAACTAATTTTTGCATGGATTTTTTTCCGCTTTTTCGTCAATTGTTCGCATATTTATTTGTTAATGTAACCGTTAATATACACAACTGTAAAACACGTGTTTTATTACCGTTTATTTAATATTCATTTTTTTTTTGGATGGTTACTCACAATACTTATTTTATTTTTAATTAGGTTTTTTTTTAACTTTGCTTTATTTTATTTCATTTCAGTTTATTTTTTTTTGTATTAAATTTGGTATTCCCTTATTTAACTTAATTTTTCTTTTGTGTTTTATATTACTTTGTTTTATTTAATACCAGTTACATTTACATTATTCAATATGTGTTTATTTAATTTAATTTAACTTTATTTTATACTTTAAATTATTTTATTTTATTTTAATTTCCTTTTTATATTATTTTAATTAGGTTTTTTTGTTTTTTTTGCTTATTTGATTTTATCTTATTTTACTTTATTTTTTCATTTCATTTTGTTTTACTTTATTCTATTTTGTTTTAATTTGATTTAATTTTATTTAATTTCATTTTAAATTATTTTATTTCATTTTACTTTATTTTATTTTATTTTATTTTATTTTATTTTATTTTATTTTATTTTTTTAATTTTATTTATTTTATTTTACTTGAGCTAATTTTATTTTCTTTGTTTAATTTAGTTTATTTTTAATTTTTATTAATTAATTAATTTTATTTTACTTTACTTGATTTTTAATATATTTTTTTTTGTTGTATTTGATTGGCTTTCATTTCAATTATTTTGGATTGGTACATACGAGTATTTTTGTATTTGAAATTCTCTCACTTTTCTTTGACAGATATTTTTTTTTTGCACATTTATTTCTCATGATCAAGTTAAATAACATTTTGTTATTATTTTAAGTTATTTATTGACTTTTACTTTCTCTTATGAAGTTTAATGCACGAAAAAATTGATGCTCACCTGGATTTTCAGCACGAAAACGGACAACTGCATATCCGCGGCTCGGTATCGATACGGTATCCTTGAATGGTGGACTTGTATTGTTGCTTTGGTGTGGAAAGAAATAGCTGTTGCCGTCATTCAATTGCTTGGCAGCCAAAACAGACTTTGGCAGTCCAGTAGAATCACGTCCCAAGGCAGTTACGATAAAGCGATGGCCGTGCAAATGGAATGGATGATGCAAGCGCCCGACCACTAGAAAGCAATGAACATCCGACATTAAATGTACTTAAATAAATATATACATACTTATATATGTGAAAATAAAATAAAATTCTTTTATGCATTAAAAATATGTTGGAAGGGAAGCAGAGCACGAATGTAACAACTACGGATAAATAAGGATTGGATATTTATGTATGTGTGTATGTGTATGTATGTTTATGAATCCTTGCACTTTCTGGTTTAATCGTCAGCTAATAATAAAAATTAAATGCTTTGACCTTATTTACTTGTATGTACTTACATTCCGTTTCATCGACTAATATAAGCTCCACTATGCTCCCAAGGCGGATATGCAGTCGATGTACACACGGGCAGAGGCGATTACCCTGGCATGCAGCTGGTCGTTCAAGTTCAGTGCAGAATTGTGTATCGTTCATGGCCTCTGGTTGTGTCAGTGGTGGATAATTTGGAAAGACAAAGCTTAAATTGTTAATGGCGCCCACAATGGTCAGATTGGATTGTAGATCTGCAGGAGATAATCGCATTTGAAATAAACATAGCAATTAAAATAAATGCACGCTTATATAGGAGTATGTATGTAATTATAAGTAAAGACTCACTTGCAAAGTGATAGTAAGTGCCATTTTTAAAGATCTCATTATTTGGCACTGGAAAATTGTGAAATGCCAGAAAAAATTGATGATCAGGCATGGCGGTGCGCAGCAGTTCATCCTGTTCCAAGGCTTCAAGTTCGCTAATACAACGATTGTCAACGGCGCCGCAGGAGATATTGGGGTGATCGAAAAACTGTGTTGGCGAAAGATAAATAAATAGAAAGAGAGAGAGAGAAAGAGAGAGAGAGAGAGAGAGTTAGAGAGAGAGAGAGGGGGAGAGAGAGAGAGGGGGTGAGAGAGAGAGGGGGAGAGAGAGGAAGAGTAGTAAGCATAATTACTCTTAGAGAGTGGATTATTAAAATACAATTAGTGAAAGTACTGTGTCTTATTTTTCCAGAGAGACTGTGGCCGCAGTGCTTGAGCTTGACTCGACTCTTCATGAAATGATTCTCATTTGACACATTCTATGTTTGCCTGGTGGCAAATATTCAAAACAGATCAAGATGAGTTTCTACACATTTTCTTGAAGGGAGACCTTTATTTGGCGCTGGTTTGATTGATTCAAAGTTTGCGATATAAGAGGGGCGTAGCGAAAAGCAAGCGATAATTCTTGCAAGTATGGCGAAATAAAAAACTTTTTCAGAGGCTGAGTAAAGCGACGGTGAGGCCACGTTCTCTGAACAGTTTTTGTATTGAAAGAGACCGTGTTAACGATAGAACCGCGAAAGTAGAGTACTACAGAGCGACAGAGACATCGCAACGATGTGAAGCCAGCAAGCACTCACTGTTCTCAGTTTACGTAGCTACGTAAGAGGGCACGAAATACTTCTCACCAAAGGGGGATCGAGGAAACTTTCTTGTCTAATATTATAACTCCAAAGATCCAGTTTAGCATTTTCCAATTGGCATTGACAAGAAGTGTCTTGGGTTCTACTTACCATACCTGAAATGAAAGTCTCATTATATGCTGGCATTGGCGGTAATGGGCGCTCTTCTATCGACTCGTCTATAACTTCATTACTAATGTAGCGTAGCAAAGCAAACGACTCAGTAGGAAGGATAGCACAAACGCCCATGCCACGCACACGAATCCAATAATCCCCAGCAGTATTATTAGCGAACACGACAAAGTCGTAACGTTCTCCAGCATTGGAAATGAGTGTGTCGAAGTAATTTGGTTGTAGATCATAAGAATCAGAAGCGATTACGCACATATTATGACGTTCAATCTAGAAATATACAAATGGTGAGATACTAAAAGATTGCTAAGGGTGATATTAGATTATGACAAGGAAGTTCATACTTGCACTGAAAGGATTTTTCGATGAAAGAGTAGCAATATCACTTCTTACCTGCAATTGAAAAGGACACGAATGACTTATCGAATTGATTAGCCTAAAGCGATAACGTTTTCCCGGAGTCACGTAAAAGCTCACTGGTGGCACCACAGTCGATGCACGCATGCCATCTTTTCTATAATATATACCACGTCCATTGATTAGTACAGAGTCGGGAAATATTCCCGCTGAGCTAGGCTCTCCTGGAAAATATTGTTCGCCATATGTATGCATCCAATCGCTGATGAGTATATAGTGTTCGGGTAGATCGAAATCATAAGTTGCTTTATTCGGCAAAATACTTGGATCATCTCGGACGATTAGTGCACCATATTGACCGTTCACCTTGTGATGACCTGTGGATTAATTGAAAGTGTTGTGCATATCTAGGTTTTGGCAGGTGCATTAGTCGAAGCAAAGAGTTAATGCGCTTACGAGCTATGAAATAAACCCATGATAGAACCACCGGACATGGCTATGATAGAGAGAGAGAGGGAGTTGCACTAAAAGTCGCTTTGCTACTCGTTTGAGGCTGACATCATCACCATTCAATAGACGTGGTGACCACAATTATAGCGGTCACTTAAGGTATCGGAAATGTGGTTCTCAATTTGTAGTAGAAGAAAAATACTGTCGCCGAGTGGTGTCCCTATTTCCGACTACCAAAATTTCTTTATTCTTGACTGACGATGCTAAAGATATGCTTGATTTGCAATTGGAGCGATTTAAACGTCTAAGTAGGCTAAGCGGGCATGCAAATACTCCAGCCATCAAAGTTTTCGCTGCAGTATCCGAGACGGGGCAAGCAGAGGAAGGGGAGGATCTCCACTGCGTTGGAAAGACTAGATAGAGATGGACCTGTCTGTAATTGATACCTCCAATTGGGGTCAAACAGTGAAAATGAGATACGATAGGATAAAACAGCTCGATTCACGATGGGCCTTATGAAGAGATTTCAACACCAAGAATCAATTAAGCTGCTTAACTGTCAGCTGATCAAAGAAACTTTGTTTAACTAGTTGTGTATCCGGTATTTTGGATGTGCATACTCTCGCGGTTGCCAAGATCGATTCGGACGGACGGAGAACTAGAGAGGTCGGCCTAGTGAAGCAAAACCTCGACAAGATGATGAGTACAGCCCAGATCCAATGGAAATTCAATTCAATTAGATAAACGAAAAGAAAGTCTGGCATGCATTTTTCGAAAGAGCCTAAAAAGTCGGCAGACTTTAGCTTTATAAAAATTCTCTAGGAAGATGTGAAAGAAAAGAGATTAACTTCATACCGATGTTGTAAACACAATGATCATGCTCATTTTCAGCTCTATTAAGTCTGAACTATCCTCTCCAATAGAAGGTGATTTTACTCTCTGCGCCGAATATTCTTTTTCCCTTAAGATCTCGTCTATCGTACTGTGTGGAATATTTAAAGTCAGCGTCAACAAATTGTTCGAATGGACCTGGCAAGCCCACTATTAATTAGACTACAGTTTCCGAAATTGATCGTTACGGTCTTGAGTCGAGCTTAAAGTCGCATTGTTGCCTTGTGTATCGGTGCGGAAACTTGTGCTGAAGCTCCCTCAGAATTGGAAAGAAGTAGGAAGAATGTCTTAACAAACGCGTTGTCATTTCCGCTTTCTTTTGATTGGATTAAAGAGCGAAGCCAGCATAGGATTTAGTGATGAATAGGCACGAAAATCCCTGTTACCTAGTGATATTAATACAATCATTAGGTTCAACAGGTCGCTTATGATTTCGATGAGTTCGCACTAGGTTTTCAAGAGAAAAGTTTTACTTCCGATTAACGGATCTCTGCATACTGGTAAAGGCTTTTACTGTAGCGATAGCAGGATGAGCTGTAGAATGACATTAACTACGAGTATGTTAAGGGAATTAAGAGTCATTCTATCTATATCGAATAGAGATTTCGCTATTGGGTACAGAGGAAGGAGAAGCTTCTCATCAACGACACAAAGTTCGAGTGAAAACACCACAAACGGATTATGAAACGAGTGCTTTTGTAAACTTAAGTACTTAAATAATTTTAACAAAACGAAAAAAACAACTCACCTGAATGCGAATGATAGAAATGCGTGCCCACCTCAGTGGCCCAAAAATGGTAACGAAACGTGTTGGCGTAATGTATGGGACATTGCGTAACAAAGGGTACACCATCCGACCAGGGTGTTGCGACCATATGCTGACCATGCCAATGAATAGCGGCAGAGGTGCCGAGTGCCTGATTGAACACATCCACAATAATCAAATCGTCACGACACACCTGTATTGCTGGACCCGGCAGTTGCCGGTTAATGCTCATCACACCTTTCTCATAGCCATCGGCCAAGATGCATTGCGGTGCAAAGCAATCAGCGATAATACCAAGCGAACAGCGGCCACAAGCGCTACGGTTGGGAGACAGTTGCAAGGAGGTGGAGTCGAGTGGGGTGTGCGAATGATGTTAAGGAAAAAAAAACAGAAAAAATAAATAAAAAAACAAGCAAAGTGATAAAAGTAAAATGGAAAGTGGATCGCTGTGCATAAGGAGGATGGCAGTTAGTGGCATTTTAAAGCATTTGAAAAGGAAAAACAGATTGCGCAGGGCAAACTGATGTTGATTTAGGGGAAAACCAATTACGCTGCAACATAAATAGAATGTCAGTAAATCAGTTGGCTGGTTGGTTGGTTGCTTGGTCGGTTGGCTGGTTGGCAAGCAATGTTTTTAAGCTTGTGCTTGTGTGCGTTTGTGTGCGTTGCAAGCCTCAGTTGTGCTGTCAAAATGACAAGCGAAGGGCAGCAAAGCGCTGGTGATCAGAAAAGCGGAAAATATTAAAGTATGACATACAAATACATAAAAGCTACACTTGTTTGTATGTATGTTTGTATGTTTGTATGTTTGTATATATGTATGTATGTATGTATATAAGTGCGGAGTGACCGACAAATACCGTGCAGCATTATTAAGTGAGCGCCGTACACAGCCTCCCGCCACCGCCTGCAATAAAAAGCTTACGCTTAAGTTGCTCACCGCGCAAAGGACAACATTTTTCAGAGAAAGTAGAGGAGCTGGTGGCTCGTCCAAAGTCAGCGTTTGCGGCCACATGCACGTAACAGAGCAATAAAATAACAAAACTGGAAAAATGTGAATTAAAAGGAAAGCGAAAAAGTCGAAGAAATACTCTAAAATAAAAGGGAAAAAAATAAGCGTAATATGCTTATGCCACAGTGCCAGAATGCCAAAGCGCTTTGACGGCTGATGCCCCGACACACACACACGCACACTCACTCACTCACATAAACCAGCACAGCGTCGGCATGTTGTGAATACAGGACTCAGGACGTTGGACGCAGGAAGTTGTTGGTTGCAAGTTGCAGGCTGCTGCCGGAAACCAGTCCCATGCACACCGCGCGGATATTTTTGTGACAATCAATATTTTATTGCACGGCTCTGCGCTCGCCGCTTAGCTGGCTTGGCAGAGTGTGTTGACCGACTACTTGTGGTGTGAGTTTTGCGCACAAATATGGGACACGCTCAAGTGCTCGTGTGGTTGTGGTTATGTGAGTATGTGTGTTTGTGTGCCGGAAAAAAGTAGGATTTAAATATGTTGCTGTTTGATGGCTTTGTGTTTGTTTGCGCTAAAGTGTTATTTTAAATAAGCATATATCACATATACATACATATATTTTTGTACAATATATATACATATTTATATATATATAAATAATATTTGCCTGTGTGTATGTATGCATTTTACTCAACGTACACTCCCATGACCTGGTAATGTTCCAGTGTAAATTTGAAATGGCAAATGCGACTGTCGCCAGCCGTGCAACGACGATTGCACAGCTCGCCGGGATGTTGACTAACATTTAACGGTGTGGTAAAAGTACGCTTATTTTTGTTCTTCTTCCGTCTGTTGGTGGTGCGCGTATTAGGATTACTGTCAAATGTTGTGGCAGCAACAGCTGCATTTCCACCAGCTGCCGTTCCATTTTTTGTCGCTGTCCCTGTTGCTGTTGCTGTTGTTGTTGCTCTTGCTTTCGTTGCCGCCGCAGTGCGCTTCCTTTCACCATAAAACGGATTAAGTTTACCGACTAAAGTGAAGTAATTTGCAGCATTGCTTTGACTCAATGGCGGCAGCATGGATATTAAGTTGGAAGCTGTGGCTAAAGCCGTCGTCATCGCTGATATGTTGGCGGCGGCCAATGCGGCAGGCACGTATGCGCGGTGTGTTAGCGTTGAAACTGTTGCCATTTGTTGCCATGGTCGGTGGGTATTTGGAATTATTTTTCGATTTGCTCTATATGAGATTTGCGGATTTGTGATTGTTGTTGTTGGTATTGTAGTATTTGTTATTGTTTTGCTGATATTTGTCGTTATTGCCACTTTTGCTGCTGCTGCGGCGGTGGCGGTGGCGTCGATGGCGGCGTTGAGTGCAGTGAGCCATAGCAAAGCCATGGCAATGATGCCCATGCCGGCGATCCAACTGTAGTTGCTTCGGTTATGCCGATACATTGTTTCAACCAAACGGCAGCGATTTATTTTTCTAAACGAACGAATCGTTAAATCCGCGCACTTACTCATTCACTTTGCGCCCGCTTGCAGTGCAGAAATAATACTAAAAGCTGGTGGGTAGCTTGCGAGGCTGTGTTCGGAGTTGAGGTTTGCTTGTGGTATGCCATTGATGATATGCTTTCATAAACAACTACATACATACATATAGGTATTTACAGTTAACGGGCAAGGAATTGATGATTGACACTGAATTCTTTTAGTGCACGAGCAAAATTATACACCTTCCTATATGCACCTTCTATATATATAAACGCATAATTTTGTGCTGCCTCCAAGCGGATGAAAGGTTTTCTGACAGGAAATTATTTTCTTTTGCGAAATAAAACTAAAGTTTTTGTGCGTTCGACAGACTGTCTTATGAACAAACTTTTCATTTGCAGATTTAGATATTGCCCTAGACTTATTTTCACTCATGGCTGGAGGTCCTTAGAGTGAACGATCCAACTCGTTACCGTGGTTGCCTATACATCATGTACAGCTTAAAGAAGATCGAAGCGTAACCCAAAGTGTTTCCCAGACTCACCTCTGTAAAAGTAATCTTTTGTTTCGTTAATTGGCTACCCACGTAAATACTAAAATAACCTCTCAATCTAAATTACTGTTGGTTGATATAAACTATTTCCAGAAGAATGACAATATCAGTAAAGAAAATGTCCCCTGGTTTCTAACTTTTTTGTTTGTTAGGCGTAAGCTCGTCTAAACCGTCCCTTTTCCCTGCCCCCTGCACAGCAAGTCCTGTAAAGTAAACTCAATTACCCCATTTAAAACAGTTTTGTTCAGAATCCTATCGGTTAGTCCTTAGAGTGAGGGGCTCAATTGTACCAAACTACTACTGGTAGTTTTGTATTCGATCAGATGGCTTCACTGTAGGTATAATGAAATAAACTAGTTTATTTAATAAAATAGACATTTCAATATTTGCAAATATAGTGCGAAATCCAGCTCTGCTTTCCGATCAATACCAACGACGAATTTCATTGGGCAAAGTTAATGGGAGCAGACGGTATTGATTCCTGGTCTAAAACAGATATTTGACAGTTGTGAAAAGAAGAGCTTTTAGTCCTCTTAACGCATAAATTACTAGCTAAAATTTTTCTTTTCAATTTCAATGTCCCCATTTCAATGTCCACGAGTTCCTCTTTTATATGAAATATTGTATGCTGATCATTGTGCGCCCAATTTAGATTTGATAGCTTTGAAACTCTAGTGGTTTGATAAGAAGACGCTTAGCTTAACTGGCATGTACCCATATACACTCGAATAACAACATACGTGTGTAGCTACTGTATGTTAGAGAAATCATTTGATGATTTTAGCATTTGCAAAAGTCAAAAGTGTGGCAAAATGAAAAGATCAGTAAATAAATAAATGCAAATAAGCAACAAAATAATAAATGCAAACATCCCGACACATAACATTAGACGAAATAGGAAATGAGATAAAAAATATTTAAATTAAATTATGATTCAAAAATTATATAAAATAAAATAGACTAAAATACATAAAATATGATAAATTAAAAAAATAAATAATACAATAATAATATATAATAAAGTTAACTAAAACAAAAAAAAAACGAAAAAAATAAAAAAATTAAATAAAAGAATATAAGACAAAATTCAACATCATCAAATGTGACAAAATAAAAAAATTATATAAATAAATTAAACAAAACAAAAAAAAATTAAATAACAAAAGCTTAAATAAAATTAAGGCAGTAAAATAAAAAAATAAAAAAATAAATGATATAAATAAACTAATTTAAAATATTGTAATATAAAATCAAATTTATTGTAACGAAAAAAAATAGAAGAGAGTTAAATAAAATAAAAATAAAAGAATAAAATGGGAATAAAATAAAACAAATAAAAAAGAATATAAAACAGAAAAAATATGTAAAAAAATATAAAAAAGAAATTGAGACAATTAAAAAAATATCAAATTCAATAATATAAAATAAAATAAAGTTAACTATTACAAAATAAAAAATAAATAAAAAAATAAAATAAAAGAAAATTAGATAAAATAAAAGAAAATTAGATAAAATAAATAACAATAAGATAAAATAAAAAGTAAAAAAATTAAAAATATAAGATTACTTCTTATAAAAGAAAACAATATAAAATAGGGGACGAATTAAAAAAAATAAAATAAACCAATAGAAATTAAAGAAAAATTATAAAATAAAATACAGCGAAATTGAATGAAATGAAGTAAGTTAAATAAAAATAATAATAAATAAAATAAAACAATTAATAAATAAAAAAAAAATATTTTAAAAATAAATAAACATACACAAAATAAAGTAACATAAAATATAGTTTACTAAAACGAAAAAATAAAATAAAAGAAAATTAAATGAAATAAAACAAGACTTAACAATATATTAGAAAAAGAAATATAAAAAAATTATATAAAAACGAAATTGAGACAATTTAAAAAATTAAATAAAATTAAATCAAATTAAAGAAAATTAAGTAAAATTAAAAAAAATAAAATAAAATAAAATAAAATAAAATAAAATAAAATAAAATAAAATAAAATAAAATAAAATAAAATAAAATAAATTAAAATAAATTAAAAAATTAATAGAAAACCAAACATGAAATAGAAGTAAATAGGTAAGACAAACGACATCAAGGAAATTAAAAATTATGTGAAAGAACTTATCAAATTAAACAATGGGAATAAAACCGAACAAATTAAAAAAAAGATAAAGAAAACGTAAATAAAGTTTAAACAAAAACTAAATTTAGATTCTATTTAATTATTAAAATTAAATATAATTTAGTTATTATTATTATATTGTTAAATTTATTACAGTAAAATACAATACAACGAAAAACGAAATAGAGTAAATTAATATAATATATTTTAAAGTAAAAGGAAAAATAAAACAATAAATGCATAATACATCATAAAAATTTAAAATAAAGTTTAAACTAAGATAAAGTAAATTAAATTAAAATAATAAATTTGAAAACACAATAAAAGAAAAAAAATAAACACAACAAAAAAGAGTTAGGTAAATTAGTTTGCAAATAAATTTAAATATAAATAATATTTAAATAGAAAAAAAAAAAATTAGATTGAAATACAGCGAAAGACTTAACAACAATAATTGGGCGAACTCATCTTTGATTCTTTCAATTTTTAATAGTTCAATTAAATAGTAAAAACAACAATAAAACAAACTCTGCCTTAAGAAGTCTGATGTGGAGATCTCTCAAATTTACTTTTTTGTATAACAAAAATATTCAATTCATATAAACAAACCAGGTTTTAGGTCACTAAAAAATTTCGAACAGCTTAATACTATGGCCGCAAAAACAACTATAAAATAAAAATAATTTTATTAACGAAATTTACGAGCTGCCAGCTTCATTTACACATTCTCACAAGTTAGATGTGAGGATACCATAATTCATGTGTTTTGAGCTGCATCTTCTACTTCACGTCAAGCCGGTTGACCCGCGTCAATTCCCAACGTCTAAGTTGGCAATTTCGCAGATTGAAAGGACTCAAGTATTGGCTGAATTACCTACACACAGACAGCGCAATAAATAAGAGCAGAACATTTTTATTAGCAGCAGCTATAAATAACAAAAGAAGCATTGCAATTTGCTACCGTTATTTTATTTGTATTTATTTTCTGAAAGCTGCTCTTTTTTTTTAATCATACTGCTCTAATAATAGAAATTTTCCAACTGCACGCGTTTGCCAACATTGTGTTCTTGGAAAACATGGAGCTTGGGATAAACCAAACCGTTGCAGGTTCATATACACACAGAAACCGACAACAACGGCAGCAGCCAACAAATGTTGCAGTTAGAACAGGGGGAAAATATATTTATAAAGGTATATATGCTTGTATGTGTGTACATGTGTACATGTGCATGTGTGTGTACGTCTATGTATTGAAAGTAGGTCATTCGTACAAAAAATGTGAAAAAAGTAAATAACACTTACTTATATACTCGCACATATACACGTATGTACATAATATAACCGCAAGTGAGAATTTCTTTATTTAACTGCAGCAAAAAAAAAAATAAATAAAAAAAGAACAAAACAAAATATAACAAAACAAAAAGAATGCGAATAAAAATATAAATGTAACTTTTCTAATAATGAATTTTACTTTTTCATGTTATAAGCTACCAACACATATGCAGAAATGTATTTAAATAAGTTTGCTTATGAGCGCTTGTTTTCATAAAAGTTTTCACTTGAATGCATCCGCGTGCTTAACCCGCCGCCAACCTCATTTACTTAGCAAACTTCGAGATAAACTGTTGATGCCTTTATGATTCTTCTTTTCCTGCCATTGTTTTCGTTTTCAATAAGCATCCATTGTCTTCTTATATGCTAAATGTTTGTAGATCCACATACTCGTATGTATGTATGTATGTATGTGAGCATATATGTACTTGTAGATACACACAAATAAAAAGTTATAAGATTATATGTGATATTTTAACGCATTGCAATGTAGACATTCTAAGGCTTGGGTTGAGAGTACATATTTTTCAAACAGTTCATTATTTATGCGTCGCATGGAAAATATATGAAAACTTGGAGTGAGATCACGGCTCGTATTTGCAAAGGGGAAAGTGCAGAAATAAAAAAAAATCGAGTTGCACGAGAAAGAAGGTGGTGATGAGTTGGCCTATAGAAAAAACTCTTCGAAAATTCCGCGGGAAAATGCATCGACTAGTTTTTTTATTTATATTTTAAATCCAGCGAGTATTCAAAGAAACACGTGAGATCATTAAGTTTCATTTGATTTCAGCACGAATGAAGCGCCCAGAAAATACACACCCGATCGCCAATCGAAAGCCTCCAATAAATACGACGATTCAACATTAGAATTTGACAAGGTTCGAAATCTAAATGTTCTTTATACTATTCAAAAGAAGAGAAACCCAACAGAAGCATCGATTAACCCACAATAATGTGGAGTTATTCTATCTAATTGATTATTTTATTTTATTTTATTTTATTTTATTTTATTTTATTTTATTTTATTTTATTTTATTTTATTTTATTTTATTTTATTTTATTTTATTTTATTTTATTTTATTTTACTTCATTTTATTTCATACAGCTTTATTTAATTTAGTTTAATTTAATTTTATTTGTCATTTAAATATATTTTATTTAAATTTTTTTGATTTGGTTTACTTTCCTTTGATTTTGCTTAAATCCACTTCAGTTAAGAAGATTTTATTTTATTTTAGTTTATTTACTTCATTTTATTTAATTTTTTTTATATTTCTATCTATTTTTATATATCACATATTTGTTTTTTTGGTAAGTCCTTTGATGAGTTAATATAAATTTATTGTCATTGAAATTTTACTATTTTGATCATTTAAATAATGCGTACCCACGGTGCACTGAAACTTTATTTTGCGAAAGCTCTTTGCTAATATTAAAGTTTCGAACCACAAATCTGCTTATAAAAGTTTCAGCTGTGTTATGATCACTTGATGCGAAGCTTGAAAGCTGCTTGCTCAGAACTCAGCTTAACATCAGCTCTGTGGATATGTTTCAGCAACAGATTTTTCGCTCATTTCTAAATAGCCGCTAAGTAAAAGTTCAACACTCGATCTCGCCAACACACTTGCATACAAATGTGCTTATTTCTCTGCCGAGTTGCTAGTAGAGGTAGTAGGAAAACTTTCGTCTTGACCCCCTATTGAGCTTGTTATTGGACAAACTTCTCACTAGGTAATAAGCGAAACTAGGTAAAAGATCGTCTTGTCATGCTTAGACGTTCAGACGTTGAGTGTAATATGAACGAAATATAACATGGGAAAAATACACTCGTACACGTACGTATGTATGCATGTACTGTTTGTAATTGCGTAGCGTTGAAAGCATAGCACAAAGTCAAGCGCTGCGACTCGACTCAAGCTGACCGTCTCAAGCGGCATCAGCTAACTGCTTGTTGTCTGCTGTAAGATCTAGCCAAGTTTGTAGACCTGCTGTTCTCAGCTTAACGTTTAGTCTTCAATCGAGCAGCGGTGCAGATACACGCGTATTTTAAAATCAACTCGGCGCAACGGCAGTGCTCAACGGTGTTACATTTAATGTTGAATAAAATTTTGTGAAATAAAAACAAAGGAAATTTTCATTTGGTAAAACGTGAATTTATTTTTTACATTTTATTGCTGCTCTGCAATATATATAATATAATATTTAACGCATCGAGCTAAAGCGGTTTCTTGACTCGCAGATACACCTTCGGGCTGTTTTGTGATTTTCCTGCATATTTCTTTGTTGTTGTTTTTTAATGCCACTTTTGATTGCAACAATACTTGGAAAACTAGTCGGACGTGTTTATTCGACGAGGTGATTCTTTGAGTCAACGCCGTGCAGACATATGTGCATATGTATGTATGTATGTAGGTAAATATAAGCAAATAGTCAAACAAGCGTATATTTATATGTGCTAACAACTTGTGTATGTCTGTATGAAAGCGCAAGTCAGCGTGACATTGTGCAACGGCTAGTCTGAGCAACGAAAAATTCAAAAAAAAAAAAAGAAAAAAAAAAACAAAAAAAAGAATAAAAATTATTAAGTCACTTTACGCTGCAGCACATATGAATATATATATTTGATTTGGCTTTGTTTACAATTTATACACAAATACGAATGAAAAAAATAATTTTTTTTTTCTGTTGCCTTCGCACATTCTCAAAAGCACACGCTGAGTCTTCTTAACCTTCGAAAGACGTACTTTTCCGGTGCTAAAAACCTTTTTCTTCATTTTTTTTTCATATTACATTACAAAGTGAGAACGAGGAAGCGTGAATACAAACGAAATAATTAAAAAATTATAAAAAGAATAAATAAAACTAAAAGTGAGCGGTTGAAATTCAATTCGAAGCCTAAAGCAAAACTGAAACTGAAATCCGAGACGAGGAAGATTAGCGATCTGGGTATGCCCAGCGCTCAAGTCACACAGGTAAGTTAGTCACTCGCAACAACTCAGCTACACTTTATATACACATAACTTCATATATATACATCCAATATGTACATATGTACATATGTATATATGTATGTAAATTAAATGTAAACCAAAACCATATTGCTTGGGTGCGTGTGTTGGTGTTGTTATCGCCAACTTAATAACAGAAACACGTTAAAACTTAAGAGATGTATATATGTATGTAAATTAAATGTAAACCAAAACCATATTGCTTGGGTGCGTGTGTTGGTGTTGTTATCGCCAACTTAATAACAGAAACACGTTAAAACTTAAGAGCTGCATGCGATCGAGTTAAAAACAACAACAACAACAATAACAGCAACAAAAACAGCAAAAACAATAAGCCAGCAACATCAAGCGATCGAACATTATTATTTTGTTCATCCCATTGTCGCTACGTATGGAAAGCATTTCAAGGTCAAGTTAAAGAAAAAAAAACAAAAAAAAAACAAAAAAAAAAACAAAAAAAAAAAAAAAAAAAAAAAAAAAAAAAAAAAAAAAAAAAAAAAAACAAAAAAAAAACAAAAATATACGCAGCATGCGACGAAATATTGAGATTTTTCACACTTTTGAATTTTTTTTCTCCTAAAAGTATATGTGCAATACATATGTACATCTGCGTACATACATATTTGTATGTGCTACTTTACAATGACTTCGTGTGTTGATGTAGGTGTGTATATATCTTTTTAATATTTTTAATATTTTTTAATTTTTTTTTTTGTGCAATAAGCATGCAATATGCTTAGTTGACGGGTCTCTTTCTTTGTAGCGTTTTATTTTTGCCTTTTGTTATCTGTTTGAATACATGGTATTGACCAGTATTGGCAGGTAAATAAAAATTAATAAATATATATATGTGTATATGTATGTATGTGTAGTTATGTAGACTAAAAACAAACAAAATAATTTTTAGCACTTCGCAATCATCGTTGATTCATTGAGATTTCCCCGTTGGCATTGTTAATGTAGTGGTGGCAAACACACTGAATTTGTACACTATACACATACATGTACATCTACATATACACTTGGTGAATCCGTCGATGTTTAACTTGCATCAATTTCAAACTTCACGCCTTTAGAATAGCTGACTCGACTAACTTCCAAAATTTTAGAAACTGGATCTAAAAAAAGATCTTGTTAATTTTCTAAATTGGGATCGTCCTTCAGCAGGCAATGCCAAACCCTCTGAGAGTATTTATAATAAAAAATTGAAGCTTAGAAAAGCTTCAAAATAAATTGTAGGTCTCTTCATTAGTTGAAAAACAAGACTAACAGATGAATATCGCAAATGGGGTAAGAAGCTCGGCCGAAAATCGCGTCAGCGGTTGCAAAGCGCCAATGTTATATATGTGTATTTACATATATTTATAATAAATATTTTAAATTATAATGCATTTCCTTTTGAATAGAACTGAAATCGATAGAGATACCAAAAATAATAAATAATATTTTTTTATTAATTTTTTTCCGGCGCACAGACAATTTGCCGCCCACAGCCAATGTTAAGCTACAGATATACGAGTACAATATTAGGTGTATTCAAAACTAACGGTATTTAAATTATTTTTTTAAACAAAATATTCACTCATTGGTATACATTTTTTCGTCGCCTTGAAAATATGCACTTGTACCGCCGCTTCTTGCTTTACTCAGAATGCTTTTCGAACTTGAGATCGCTTTCAGTTCTTTCAGCGTTGTGCTTTAAATGTCATAACCTACGCTGCAAAACGACGGTTCTTTAAGGTTATACTTATTTTTAGAAGTAGAAAAAATTCCCACGAAGCTTTGACTGGCGTATATGGCGGTTACAACACGAACACGAACAATCTACGAAGTGTGTGCAGGTTCTGATATATTATGGTGATGCAAAAGCCCTGATTTTTTTCCAAAAATCCGGGCGTTTTTTTAGATTGTTCAGATCGATTTTGGCGCATCAGTATAACTTTACAGCGAGGTTTGAACCTTAGTTTCGTCGTCTTATCTATAAACCTATGTTTTGTTCTCTGTTATAGTGCGTTACAGTAATTCCGCGACTATTGCTCACTTCATTTTATGACTATTAAGAGGCCCCTTCCTTGATTTTGGAACAAAAAAATCAAAAAATATTGAAAAAAATATTAAATATTAAGAAAAAAATGAAAGCCATATATTTGTAGTTGTACGTGCTTGGAGGGATTTTGCAAAACGATGAATATTTTTCAAATGGCAGCTTCTTGAATACACCTGTCTCAGACAGGCTGCAATTTTCAAAAAACTTTGAATGTGCTTTCTCGAAACGATGTCTTCCGATCTAACTTTAAGCGCCGGGCTTGATTTATTCGTCCCATTTATTTTATCTAAAAGCTATTTCAAAGTGTAACAGTTTTTTGTATGTCTTGAACTTAAAATTAGCATTAATAATTAGTTATTTATATTTTTTTTAAGGTAATTGAAGTGAAAAAAGTAGCAAAAAATTTAACTTTATAATAGCAAAATGCATTATGCAATAAATTTATAATTATAATTGTTTCAATTGTTGTTCAGGATGTAGAAAATTTCATGATCTTCAAGTAATGATAACGAGTTTTGATTTCAATCTAGTACAAGAGACTGTAGACTTGAAGTTATTGGGCCATATTTTTCGCGCAGAGGCTGACGGAAAGCATCATTTTTCGCCGTCATTTTGACTTTCGACTATTTTTATGTCTCTTTAAAATCTAAAATAATTAAAAAGTTTAATAGTTAAAATCGGAAGTTCGTACGCCTTCGGGAGAATGAAATCTTCCACAAAAAAAAAAAAAAAAATACAAACTTCGCCTGATTTTTGCACAATACCTGGGAAGGGTCCCCCTAAGTAACTTCCATTCGTCGCAACATTTTTTTTTTTTTGCTGTCATGCAATTTTCCTAAAACGTTGAAAAAAATATCATGAAACGACTCCATTAAAATGCCAACATTATTAGTGTCCAATTGATCACTTCGAGAAGAGAGATTACGCGGCCGGGAAATTTCATTCGCGCTGTGTGGAATGTAGCGCCATCTTGTTAAAAACGAATGTTCTTCAATTGCAGACCAAAAAAAATCGGTTAGGACTCGAACATAAATCTCCAAATTGACAGTCACAGTCCTTTTCACACTTCCGCATCAAAGACCGCCACAGACAGTAAGTTTGGTTTTTGTGTAAAGGCTTTTCTCCAATTATTTGTGGTTTCGCAGAGTTACGAATACGTCAATTTCGTCTATTTACCCATCCACCGAGTGAGAAATGTGGTTCGTCGATAAGTAAAATTTAGTTCGAAAAATCTCCGTCCATTGTTTGGTGTTCAATCGATGCATGCACGGCTTTGTGTATGGTCAGCTGGCTTAAGTTGTTATGTAAGCTGGACTTTGCATGGTACGTACATTCTTAATGCGCCATTATGTATCGCAAGTAAGATCCGGGTCTTGAGATCGTGGAAAAATACATACAATCGGGTCTTCATACTACATTTTCTCTTACAGCGTGGTTTTTTTTGAGGTGGAACGAGCAAAATGATGATGCACAGGCTTTACAATATCTCTAACCGATTCAATTTGGCCATTGGGTTTCGATATACAGCCATTTTGATTCTCTAATGAGCCTCATTAGATCCATAGTTTGGACATCGGCTATCTCCGCTAGACCAAACAGTAGAAGGGTTCTAAAATTCCCAAACCTAGCACTGTCTAAAGCAGTACAATCTCATAAGAGGTGGGCAAACATTTTCGCTTCTCATCATCCTTGTGGCTTCTGCAGTATCTGCTACAGGGATACCGTAGTTTCGCTGTGTATGACCTGTCGGAACTACTTTTACTTTGGACATGCTCCCTCTACTTGTGATCTCTTCTTATGCCATGTGCACCATATTCTCCTCTTAAAGCATGGAGCGTAGCCACGTTTAAATCTCTCTATTTTCCATTCATTCCCATAAATGCCTGACTTTTAACTAAAACAAAACGTGTTTGGTTTAAATATTTTTTTTCCAGCTGTTTGTTTTTAATTTTTCAGCTGAAGCGATAAAAAATTTGTACTACATCAATTTTTGAAATTGAAATTGATTTGAATACACAATTTTTACACATTTTTCCAAAATTTTCATGAGCTATTTCGGTGTGGTGGGCATTCGTCAATTTGACTTGTTATGTAATTTTTCTTAAAAAAACCTTCGAAAATATGAATAAAACATTGCACATTTTGATCAAAGAACTAAATTTAATGTTTGTATTAACTTAATTGTCAATCTAAAAAAAAAAAGTGAAATACTCTAAAAACATACATACGCTACGCCGAAGTTGCATACACTCAAAATGACCCAAAATGAAAAAAATATGTGAATATGAAAATGATTTATAAAATGAAAAAAAAAAATAATAATTTTTTTGTACATCCAAACTTCACCCATTTACACTCGCAACTCTTCCGCTGAAAGTTCAGTTCTGACTTGGCGAAATGCCTCAGTGACTAAGAATGCCGTCAAATGAATGGAAGAAAAGTAAAAATAAAATGAAATGGCCCAAAGGCGGCACAAGCTCAACGGCCACAGTCACTGGCCTGCCGTTTTGGCGCAACATTGAAAAATTCACGCGACGAAAACCTTGAAGACATATTCGCACGTTTAGATTTCGCAAATGACGATTTCACAACAGCAACGCACACTGAGATGACTAAGGCAACTCAATTTTTTTTATTTTTTTATCTGATAAAAAGTTTTTTTTTTTTTTGGAAAATCTATGAAACTTAGTTTCAAATTTTCATAGTATGCTGAATGGAGTTCGAAAGATATGCACGATTAGTAAAATTTGCCTTTAAAAAGAGAAAATTCAGGTATACAAAATTTAATTTTTATTATTATTTTCTAATTGTTTTATTATTTTATAATCTCAATCGTAATTGAGCATACAATATTTGAAATAGAACATCATCGTAATGTGAAAAGTTCTATTTGAAATAAATAATAATAATTTTTCAT